AACGTCCCCCGCATACACGCATCTACTGTAGATCCCTCTCCTACTCACTCAACACAATTTTCACTCCTGGGTTGCCAAGGTAGCAGCCACTGTTTCAGTCAGGAGGCTCCCACTCTCAGTTCCCAAGGCTGCTTCCACCAACACACACACATAGGTACACACCTGCCCACGTAAAAGCTCAGGGACAAACACACAGACTCACACACACACGTAAACCATCCCTTCGTGGTGACTCCCTGAGCCTCGAGGCCAATGGGCTGCAGCCTGCAGTGTGTGGGCTGCTCGGCTATGCAGCTGAGAAACACAAGGCGAGCTGACAGACAGAGAAGCCCCTTCAAGACTTGACTGTCACATCAGGATTCGCTGCACCTGCTCGGACTCCCTGTGAGAGCAACAGAGAGTGACCAAGCCAACAAGACCTCAGCAATCCACCCACAGCCCCGCAGCAGTCACGCCGGAGACAAAGGGACAGTCTGGCTATCTCCTGCCCATTTACAGTGCACTCAGAGATGAAGGTTGCAGGGTGAGGAACCAGCCCTGAGGCCTGTTCAGCCTCTGGTTCTGAGGCCGGCACAGGGGGACACTCGCGACCTCTGTATCCTATGAAAAGGGCATACAGAGAGGAATGAGAGTGGACAGACGCAAGTCTGAAGTGAGGGTCATGGGAGGAGCAGTGCTCTAAGGATGTCCAATTCTGGGTCCTGAGCAGAGGGACTGGGAGGAGATTGAAGGAGGAGAAGGGGTGGGGGTGTTATGAGAATAGAGACAGGACATTATTGAGACCTGGGACTCTGAAACTTTAATGTGTGTCTGTCTGCACTTCTGAGGCTGGGAGCTCTCTTAATACCTGGCTTTAGAGATGTCAAATCCTTTTTTCAACTCTTTCCCTGTCAGCTTTGTTCACGCTATCTTCAACTTTCAGCCCATGTCAGGTTTCGCTAAACGCAACCTGTTTAAGAGACACAAACACTGCACCGGGCCTCGCTCAGCATGATTTCAGTAACATTTAAAAAAAAGTATTGAATGGTTTGTCACCAAACAGAACAACATTGCTTTTATGTTGTTAAGCTGTTGTCGTGGAGGAAGAAAATTAGTCTCAGTTTTGTTCCCATCTCTCTGGTAATGATGTGAAAATCTGCTTGGCTTGCAGTCTGAAGTTCAAAGAGAATCAGCTTTGCTCTTGTGCGTGTCGTCAATGTATATTTTTGTAGCAACAAAGAGATGTGGGTAAACTGAGGTTTATATGGTGAATATTTGATCTGCTCCTCTTTCGACTGACAGACCTTGTTTGGGAGCTAAGCTCCACTCATCTGTCCTTGCAGATCAGGGTTAGTTGCATATTTTATGCTTGCAATACTTGTGGGTGCACTTGATGTTCCATAACCAAAATGGAACGACAGTGAAACTAATGGAAGTGTGTTGCCCTAACCACAGGGAAGTGCATGCAGAGCAAGCTAAATCCAGCAAACCTGAGATGTTTTTTCGCATCTACAGTATGTGTCTCAGACGGACCTGTCCTTACGTAAGAGGCGGGTTCACAGCGGGCGTTTCACATGGCACCAAAGCTGCTGTCTGTCAGAGATGCTCCAGCTTGAACTGCTCCACAGCTGACATCACAGTCCATCTATTTTTCATTGCCAACATCTGCTTGGCTTGCTACATTGTCACTATGATTTGCATCACTTCTCCAGATTCCATGTATAAACCATACACATGGAAGGTGACTAGAGTGGCGAGCACAAAAGGCTCCAGTCAGTCTGCTTAAGGATTAAATCTTTACAGTCTTTGATACAGATGTGAGAATAATATCATCCACATACACAAGAAAAAAAACGCTGTTTACACTCTTAAGAGGTGAGTACAGTTTGATAGTCCGCACATGTTGTGACTACCTGAGGAAAAAGTAACACGGGCATGTAGCAAGTAAAATATCTTGTTTATCCCTTGAGAATAAGGCTAGAGAGATTTCGGCAACTGTTACTGGCTTGTCTTTATAACCTTGAGGGTACTGGTTGTATGTCAATGGACATTTGATGAATAAAAATACAGGAATAGCTGAATGTCTTTATCCTCAACACAAGAAAGTCCAAGAAATATGGACAGGGAATGAAAAGGTGAAACTGATCACCAGATCATACAGGGTGGTTGTGATAGTTGTATAAAAGTTACAAATTAAAACTACAGTAAAATATTAAAAGTATCCTTCAATGGACTTGATAAGTAATTCATTACATTATAAGGAATATATGTTATAATATATATAATATTTATTGAACAGCTCCGATGCTATAAAATAAAAAGCATTGACTATTTTTAGCTTGTTGACACTACTAATGAAAGATCTGTTCAAATCAAGTCAGGTTAATATTAATTTATTAATTTCAAGTTAAATTTAAAAATAATTTTAAAAAATCTATTTTATGAGATCATTATAAAACAAACCATACATTGTGTTCTATACTGTGATCTCACTGATCCATTGTTTTCAAAGGTTTATAATACAAGAAAACAATTATCTGATATGTACCTAAGCTAATAAAATACTTATATTGTATTATACTGTATTATGCGTATACTTTTTTGCATGCTAAATGGAAAAAAAAACTATCTACTAATCCCCTTCTCCCAAACTATAACCACTTCCCTCCCAAAATGCAGTCAGTTCTTGTTGCAGCACGAAAAGCAATATTTTCTCCTCCTGCATGTCATTATGAAAACAAATGCATTCATTTCCCCAGCGGAAAAAAATTCTAGAAAAATGACTTACTAACCAGTAAGTCAGTCACTCCCATTTCTGTGTGTGTATGTGCATACGCCTGTTGTATGGCCTTGTGTGTAGATGTTAGTGAGCACTGATTCAGTTTATCGTAAGGTCCACATTCATTCTGCAACGTGGTTTGTGTGTTTTCACTAACATCTCAGTGAGGAGTAGCTGCTCTCATTGCTGCTCAAGATGTGGGCTCTCAGACAGGCAGTTTTCAGCTTAAAGAGATGTTTTGCTTACAGAAAGAAAAGCCATCAACATAAAGCACTGAAACTGGAACCGTCAATAGTGCACCGTATCTCAAAGACATTACGCCGCTGATGTAAGCACTCGTAAATGTTGTGCTCTTTGTGCCAGGAATGCAGACACACATGTAAAAGCTACTACTGTGTACTTACTCTTAATTCGGCCTTAATACTTAGAGTATATCTTGTGTTAAGGAGGCAGGAAACTCACAGGTGGAGGTCTGGAGCTTAGGTGCAAGTGTGTGTGGGCTGCAGCTAGGTGCGTGTGAGCTAGCCTTAAATAAAAGATTAACCTGCGTGTCCCTGGCGTGTTATGAGAGCACCAGGCAGAAGTGGTTGTGCAAACATGCAGGAAGGTAAGGCAAGCAGGCAGACGTGTGGGGAGCGAGAAAGACACCCAGAGGTAGCTTTAGTACCAGCTGAAGTCAGCCAGGGTGACAGACGGAGCAGGGGCATCTACGCCTGCCCGCACCCGCCCGAGCCTCATGCCATGCTGGCGTCACTGGAGCTGACAGGAGCAAGTACACAAGAAGCAGAGAGGACGGCGAGGACCTGTCCGTCTCTCCTAACTTGGAAAAAGCCTTGTGTGCTCACGCCTTGTCAGCGAATGCACCTTCATCAAGTCGCCAACACTGATGGGAAACAGATCTTCAGATACAAGCAAACATGGTGATGAAAGCTTTGCTGAAGATGAATGAATTTGACTCTTTAAAATAAAAAGGCTAAAACAAAAGCACCATAAAACATGAAAAATATCCTTTTTGGCATGAATCAATGATTAGCGTAATACATCATCCTTGTAATGATAAAATATTGAAACGATTTTCTAATTATATTTTTTGTAAAAATTCAGCAAATTTATTTCTATTCTTAAACTTTGTTCAATACTTCTTGTGCTCTTCTCACTGCAAAATAGAATATGAAGACACAAAGGCAGCAGAGCCTTATTGTTCCCATCAATATGAATAAATTGTAGCTACAGAACACTAACTATCCTCCAGACATGTTCAAAGGCTCCGTTCTGAAATCTCAAGATGGTAGAAAATATCTTTCCTCTCTCGATCTCGACTTACCCAGACATACTGACAATTGACTGTTCTTACATCGCTGTGCAGATATTTGTGACAGAAAAGAAAAGGGTACAGGTTTATGTATCAGCCTCAAAATAAGGCATTCTCTTTTACTCTTCCCACCATCCTTCTCTTTTAATGCTCTCTCTTTCTAAAAAAAAAAACTGGCTTAGTCTGTTAATGATTTGGATGAGTGTTAGACAGTACGAAGCCTCTTGGCGTTTCCTGCCGGAGAGGAAAGGATCTGTGCTTTGTTCGCCCTAAAAGTCTGCACGAGGAAACTGCACCCATGGGAGAATGAGACAGGTATACACCGAGAGTGGGGAGATGGAGGGAGGGCAGGATGTATTTATAACTTTTTTTGCGCTGATGCTAAGTCATTAGAGAGACCTTGTAGTGCTATACAGAGAGCTACCCTAAGTGGCTTTTAGAAGTGAGCGAACAAACAGTCCCTGTTTATGGCCTGAGCAGGTTTGAACCGATTCTCCAAATATCAATACTCTCCGAATATCCGCCAATAGCTTGTGGCAGGTTGGCAAGTCGCACTTGAAGGGAAAATCAGGTGGAGAGAACATGGTGATGGAGATGATGGTAGCATGTGGTATCCCAGTGTTATTTTTGTTCACACTGCGCTCCATTATCCTGGCGTATATAACTCTCAGGCTCCATTTTGTGGCTCATTATGGAGGAAGAGGAGGATGGTTCTAAAGAAGAAGAGCTGCTGAAATACACTTCACAAACAGAGAGACCAGAAGACGACAGGGGGTCGCGGGGCTAGTAGCCACCTTTGTTTTACAGTCACCACCATGGGCCTTTCTTAACTTAACCTTAACTCCACTTATTCTTAACTAACTTATACTATCATAGGGAATCTAATTCTGTGATTATATATCGGTGTAAGTGCATGTTTACTCTCCTTGCCTTGCTTTGTCTTTCCGCTCTCCGAGAATGGCTCGATGATCTCGACTGCCTGCCCGCCTGTCTGGTGCTCTTTAATGAGATTATCAGGAGAAGAGTGTCAGTAAGTAGGATCTAAAATGAAAGCCATTATGGAGCATTATCACAGAGCTGCAACACCCCTCCCCTCCACCCCCCAACCCCCCAATCCATCTGCTGTATGGCCACCCACACAGCCACTATGCCCAGATTACAGCCACGATTAGCAACACGAAGTGCTGCTTAATTTAAACACCTCTGGAGAACATGTGGCACTTTGGTGCATTGCTGAGTCGCAGCTATCGAACTCACACAGAGGGCAGAGATGTGTTTCTCCTTGTGTAAGACGATTCTTTAAATGATTCCTCTGAAGCAACTTCAGCTTGAACTGGCATCATACCATTGCACTGCAAAAGGTGCAGTGTCAATGTCTAGGCTGCCAATCACAGATTAGTGATATATTGGTGCAATTGTCCAGCCCTATCTTTAAGTCGGCAAGAGTTGCGAAATCAGAGACTTATATGTTGACGTAATGAAGTGGCTCTAAGGCGGCTTCTGCCCAACTTGTTCTTTTAAGGTTCACTAGTTGAACCAGCTCTGAACCAGCAGTAGCACTCTGTTCACTTTGGTGGAAAAGGGCTATATGATATATTAGGTATCTGGACGCACCTCAAATTATAATGTGGCTGAGCAGATTATTTTTTTAGTTCATAAGTAAGTGCAGTATCGTGGGGGAACAGTAGCAGCAACACCACAACACAAACACTTCTCAATTTTTTTTACCTGTGATTTTGTCGCGGACCAACTTGCAGGACTCGATCTCGCCGATGCTACCGAACAGGCTGCGGAACTCTTCCTGGGTCATGTTCTGGGGCAGGTAGTTGACGATGAGGTTGGTCTTGCTGTCGTCGTTTGTGGGGCCAGTCTGCATGGGCGAGGGGCAGCCACGGCTGTTGGTGGTCGGACCGTTGGCCGTGTTGCCTCCTCCGCTGGGGCCGTTTGTCACTGTAGCCTCCATGTTACTGATGATCTGGAGAAGAAAAGTGATTGGGAGAGAGAGGAAGAAGAAAAAGAGGGAATAGCTTTCATTAGCAGCAACTTCTGTGCGGTTTTTAGTATTCAGGCACAATGAATATGTAGCAAAAAGTGTGTTAGATAAACAATCTGGAGGAAAAGTGCCTTTAAAATCAAGTAGCTTTATTTTCATGTACTTTATAAACAATTTTGTAAATTTCTGAAAAATGAGGAAAAAAAAGAAAAAAAAAATTATTATTATCGTCACATTGATTGATGATTAGTAATTTTTATGAGTGGCAGTATTTATATTATTTGTAATATATATTTCTGAACAGCAGTGCTGTCACCAAATTATTACACAGGTTAAATATAAATGATCTCTTGTATCACAGCGTCACACTTCAGCAACATGTAATCAACACATTGAAACATTATTAAACCGTAATACACAAAACAACACAAATAGTGAACACACTGTACACATTATGACACACGTCTAGACATTTAAAAAAAAAAACTAACACCGGACACAGAGAGGATAAATGATTGAATATTTAGAAAGAATAATAAGAAGCGTCTCTACATCGGCCTGTGATCACTGCTGGGGTTTGTGGGCAGGGACAGCGACAAGGGCAGCCCCCTCGCAACCCTGCTGCTGATGCTGCTGCTGTGACAGAGAGAAATTTGTGTTTTTTTCTTATCAGTTTTTTTGCAGAGCACCTCAGGATCAAAGTGTTCACGAAGGAACTGTGAGCCTGGTGTGAGGAAACAGCAGGGGGAAAAAAGGGTGAGATGGAGCTAGAGTCAAAAGTTGGAGGCGAAGGGACGTAGATTTCACTTTGCTTTTCAACCAGAGCACTTTGATACATATTTAATACAAATGCGTATTCAGAGTGAACATTATTCTCCAATGCTAGAAATGCGTGAAGTGAAATTATTCATACATTTGCATAAAAAAACACATTTGTTTGATCAACTTAATGGCTTCTGTGAATGTGTGTGAGGTAAAAAAAAAGAGTAGACACAACTAAGTCTAATCACTAAATGGTGGAAAGACAAAACAAGAAAGAAGATGGTGGCAGCAAAGCATAGCGAGCATCATTCTGTCTTGATGCTTGACTAAACAGGAGACTGTAAAATGACTGCTGACATGTTGGTTTACTATGTTTATTATCTTTTTAATATCCTGCAGCGTCTCCCTGCATTTATATTACATATGTTTCATAATAATGAGAGCTTGACCAATACATCAGGGTGTTTATGTTTGCCAATAGGAAAGGTTTTATTTTCAAAGAATAAAAAGTGCTGAAAAGATTTATGTTTGCACATTGCATGAAATATTTTCTTAATTCAAGTTCTTTTTAT